TTTGTTTGGCATAAGCCCCGTGTGTGTGTGTGTGTGTGTGTGTGTGTGTGTGTGTGTGTGTTAAAACTCTAGCCTTCCAGCCATAGACTCTACTCAGACACACAGCGACCCTGTAAGGCAGAGTAGAACTGCCCTGTGGGTTTCCTAGACTGCGACTCTCTATGAGAGTAGAAAGGCTCATCTTTTCCCGTGCAGCAGCAGGCTGATCAAACTGCTAGCCTTGCCATGCACAGCCCCAAACATAACCATGACACGAACAGGCCTCTAATTCCGCTCTGAGGTGAAGCAACTCCATGGCACCTAACTACAACAACAACAACCAATCAAAAAGCATCAAGCCACCCAGTGCAGTCCTCCGGTGCAGTCTATGCAGTCCTTGGGTGTTTGTACCACACAGGGACTGTATAGACCGTCACTGCGATCTGTTGTTGCTGTTAGGTGCCATAGAGTTGTTCCGATTCACAGAACACCAGTGACAGAGGAAGACCTTCGACAGGATGGATGGACACAGTGGCTTCATCGATGGGCTCAAACATGGCCACCATTGTGGGGATGGCGCAGGACTGGGCAGTGTTTCGTTCTTTAGTGCCTAGGGGTGCTATGAGCTAGAACTGACTGGACAGCACCCAACATACAATGGAGTGTCCCTGTGAACAGTGGACCGAAACACTGCCGGGTCCTGTATCATCCTCATAACCCTTCCTGTGCTTGAGCTCATTCCCTATGGCAGCCCTGATGTCAAGCCGTCTCATCGAAGGGCCTCCTCTTTTTCATGGGCCTTCTCCTTTACCAAGCATGGTGTCTGCCTCCATGGGCTGGCCCCACCTGATACCATGTCCCGAGTGACTCAGGGTCTCGCCATCTTTGAATCTGAGCAGCATTCTGGCTGTACTTCTTCCAGTAAGGATTGATTTGCGCTTCTGGAAGTCCATGGTCTATTTAATATTCTTCACCAACACCATGAGGTCAAGGGCATCCATTATTGTTCGGTCATTCTTATCCATTGGCTTTATCTAGCTTTTGCCTGCATAGCGAGTGACTGAAAAGACTATGGCTTGGGTAAGGCATGCCCAAGTCTTCAACATGAAGATCTCTGTCTCTATCCCCGGCTCTATGATTTTTTAAATTAACAGTCCCATTTAGTAGACGCTGATTCATGGCAGCCCCTCGTGTGTCCATGTTGAATGTGCCCACAGGGCTTTCAGGGCTGAGTTTGGGGGAAATAGAGCCTTGGGGTGGACTCCTGCTCCAAGATTTCTGTTAGCATCCAGACCCGTGAACTGTTTGCAACACCCAGAGTCTGCCCTGGATACCCCCGCCCCTCCCTCGGCAATGTGCAGAGGGCCCATGGTCAGGTGTCATTAGGCACCTATTGGCGTGATGCAGAAATCGAGGATGGTCACTTCAGCCCACAAAAAGTGGAGGAGGATTACATCGTGACGCGATGGCCTGATTACATCATGACATAGCTACCCAATCACATCATGATTTGTCAGATGTCATCACTGCATAACTACTAAACCTCTGAGACTCATGCCCCCTTCCCTCCCAACCCTTACCCCAGTTGGCATGTAACCTTCACCATCACAGCCAGCCTCACTCTCAATCAAGTGGTCAAGCAAGATTTCAAGCCATAAGGGGCTTCAGAAACGATCTTTTCCTTCTGTGTTTCCCACAAATGTTTCAAAGCTCCCTAGAGAACAAGCCAAAGGATCCCTGGTGGCACACTGGGTCAGGCAGTGAGCTGCTACCTGCCAGAAGCAGTTAGCTGGCTTCTGGGAAGTGGTGTGCTCTCTCCCACTGGCCCAGAAAGTCTTGTCCCACCCCGCCTGAGGGGGGCTTACGCCAGCCCTTGCCCATGCAGACGCTGACTCTCTCTGACCTGAAGCCCCGACAGGGGCCCATGTCTGGGGGTACCCAGGTGACCGTCACAGGCAGCAACCTGAATGCCGGCAGCAATGTGGTGGTGATGTTTGGGAATCAGCCGTGCCTCTTCCACAGGTAACCCAAGGGAGACCTTTATAGCAGCTCCGGGGAGGGGAGGGTCAGGCAGGCCTTGGTAGTGGGGGCGGGGGGCGGGGGGTGTCCCAGCCTGGAAGTCACCAGGTGTCCAGGATGAAGCCTTTCCTGGGGCGGGTCCCAGCATGACTTTGGCTTCTATTGACTTTGGCATCCCCAGGCTGCCACCTCACCAGACCCCCAGGCTCCCACAGACTCCACGACAGATCTCCCACCCTGGTCAGAGGCAGTTGGTGGGCTGGGAGCCTGGAGCAGCCGAGGCTGGGCC